CGACAAAATCCATATTTACCATCCAGAATGATGCTGAAGTGCTGTACATTCTGCTGCTGGGACAGTTGCCCTGCATCAGCACGGTCTGCCTGCAAGCAGGGATTGATTTCCAAAACTTGTACAAGTATTTTTAGTTCAGTTACTGGCCCCAGAAGTTATTTTTAAGTAGGAGGTGCCTTGATCTGCAAATTGTCAGTGAAATTCTTTTGATTCTTTACCTGTCTTCCTTAAATAGGTGCCTGTGATTGCCATTGCTGTTCCATGGGTGTTTTGATCTTTTTAAGGCAATGCTGCTGACATCAACATTGGAAATTACCCTTTCCTTCCATCTCTGGGTTGTTCAAGGACATTGTGGATCCTGGGATCCCAACCCAGCTCCTCACCTGCTGGACCTGGGCTCCTCCTCAGCTCCACTGGAGCTGCTCACATGGCTGCACTGAGGTGATGGCCTCAGCACTATTCAAAAATACACCACTTTTATTGCTGGGTGGAAAATGAATAAAGGAAAAGGACTATAATAAAGTCCAGTTAATGTCTCCACTTAAAGAATGGACAAAGGCCTGATCAACCACTCATGAAGGAATAGTTTTTGTGCCACTTCCTCACAGAAATGCCAATTTATCCCCCAAAATGTGGTGCAGTACATCTATTTGGAGAAGCTGAGGAAACCTATAAAATCTTTTTATGATTATAACGATTTTGGGGCACAGGAGTTGAATTTTTCTATTATCTGTATTACTCTAAAGGTGATCCTGGTAGTATAAATCACCTGTGATCAAATGTTTTCATTGACTCCAGACCAAAGCAACTGCATCTGTGTGAATGTACTTATAACAGCATTTAGCCTTTACTATTATTTTAATATAGCTTTAAAAAAACCCATTAATTGTAAAAATCACCAGTTTACAATTTCCTACACTAATTTTTTTCGGACACCAGAGCTGAGTTTGGGTTTTGCTTGGCTCCAGGGGCTCTCCCTGTTGGGCTGATGCCAAGGTTGTGGCCAGCAGTGCTGTGCCCAACAGCCACCAGATGGCCCCTGAATTCCTCCTTTTTTTTTTTTTTCCCTGCCAGGCATTTAATGAGTTCCTGAAACAAGATTAAAATCTCTTGTACTTAATGAACCCTCTGCCTCGACTCAAGAAAGGCTTAAAAATAAACTAAGGCAATTAGAGATGGAGTTAAACTTAGCACACAGAGACAGAAGGCCAAGATTCCTGTTTGTGCCACCAGCCCAGCACACAGCATTTGGAATAGATGGAGGATCCCAAGGAAATGTTTTCCTAGCATGGGTGGCTGGCACAGGGCCTGTGTTTCTGGCCTCCTCTTCATCTCCCACATGGTGCCAGGGAAAGCAAACGGGGGGATTTGCTGGCACAGCACTTTGGTGGAGTAGCTGCTTCCTGGCTGTGGGAACAAATCCCAGGAGCTGAGGCTCAGGATGGCACAGATCTGACCTAAGGATTTGCCTGGATAGACAAGCAGAGTCCAGGCCTTATCTGTCTGTGTTGTAAACACCTCCCTCCACACAGGAGGAGTTTGCTCTCCGTGTTCCCAGAATCAGGAATGTTATGGAAGTGCCCAGGCATGTCTCTCTACTGGGAACAGCGAGAAGAACGACACAGACTCTCTTGTGAGTTGAACAGGAGAGTTCTTTCTCTCTTTCTCTTTTTCTCTTTAGGTTTATTACCTCAGGTCTTTTTTATAGACCGATACATGAAAGTACAGAAAAGTAAAACTCTTATTGGTTAGTGAACTAACACATCACCATCATTGGTCAGTGGGGTTCACCACCCCTCCACCTTCTCTTGCAAGAATACAAGGAACAGACCAACAGCACCTGCAAGGCTGTCTTCTATCTCTGAGGATGGTTTTAATTCCTCCTTATGACTTCCCAGGCCACTTTCTCAGGTGAGACTGAGAAAGCTCTGCGGCCTGCAATTTCCACAGGCACCGTGCTCCTGCTTCACAGTTAGCATCCATACAAGCACTCTTAGGGCAGCCTGTGCTTCCCTTCCTCAAGGCTCCTCTCCCCAGTTCTGTTCACACCACCAGAGCAGGCCCAAGAGCCACACAGGAAAGCTGCTTTCATAACTTTTGGCTGCTTTAAGAGGTTTTCCAGCCAAATTGCTGTAGAAATGCTCAGAACCAGGAAATTCACCTGTGCTGAATCCAACAGGATCACCAAAAAACCCTGGAGACCCTTCCATGTAATCCTGGAGAGCCACTCTGATGGCTCCCAGGGGCTCCCACATTTGTGCTTTTTCCAGCTGTGGAAGGAACTGAAGAACCAGGGCTTTACAAAGCAATGAGGTCTTGCAGTGCTCTTTCCCTGACTGCAGTTTGAAAAGGCCCCAGGATAATGTGAGATATTTAATCCTTTATATTCCTCGCCATATCTTGGAAGTGATTAGAATGAGTTTAGGCTTATTCTTCAATACACTCCTGCCTGAGTTTGACAGATGGGAACATTTGTTGCTGTTGCTTAAGGGAAAGGTTAATACAAGGAAAAGGAGCAGAGTTTCCAGGATTCCACACATGAACTTGCTGCCAGTAGAGGTCCTGAATACTCCTCCATTCACATTAGCAGGATGTTCACATTAAACTTGAAGACAATAATGTAAAATGTCCGTGAGCCAAATTCTATTTCTCATCTCAGTGAGGGCAGGAGGGCACAAAACCATCTCTGGGCTTTTTGTCTCCTCAGGTGCAGCTCCGTGCCAGGCCCTGTGCTGGCAGCAGGAAGAGCTGCCCTGGCTTTGCAGTGGCTCTGAACAAGTGCCAGTCACGTTTAATTACACAGAGAAACAAACACTTTCTGCTGTGATTCTTTCTCTTGGAATCAAAATAGAATTCCCAACTCCTGGCCTTACCTCAAGGCTGTGATCACTGATGCTATTTGTAGATGAAAGGAAGCTGAACCTGTCCCTCTGTTTTTCCAAGGGGATGTACAGGCTTGTCTGTTAAAGGAACTGCAGGATTTAAACTGTGCTCCTGGTTTTTCTCATGCTTTCTTGTTCAACATGGACTTAGTCTGGGCTCATGTTCCAGATCTCAGCACACAGGGGGATAAGCTTGGTCACAACTTGTAAACACATTATTCCACAAATACTCATTATGGGGCATTATTCTCAGTGGCAGGGAATGGAATTCAGGGCTTTATCTGAGATTATGGAGTGGAAGAATCGTGCAGTTATTTTTATTTTGCAAACATAGAGCTCTACCCAGCCCTGTGCCAAGCACCTGGAGTTCCCAGCAGCTTCAGGGAACACTGTAAGCACTTAGCAGTTCTCAGGTTCACAAAGCCCCAAATTCACTGGTCTGAAGGGTTGTCTGGAGAGTGTTTTATAGCTGGAGGGAAGAGCACAGAGCTTGGGACAAACTGGATACAATCCATTTTAACTGGAAGCTGACAGCCTGTAAAACAAGCACTTTAGCTCTGCTAAAACTTCATGATAAAGCAACTGAGCAGAGTTTCCTCCCCCAGACCCTTTATTTTCCTTAATTTCTTTGGGGATTTCCGTAGAGTATCAGAAGAAATACATGAAAAAGATAAATAGATGGGAAGAAAAAACAAGTCTTTCCCCAAGCTGATATATATATGGTGAATCACAGAACCAATCCCAAATGGTTTTTGTTGGAAGGGACCTTAAAGATGGTGTCCTTCCAACCCCCTGGGAATCTCCTGGAGTATCCAAGTAGAGCCATTTCTGTAGGATTTAAACCCAGCTTGGAGCATGTGCCAAATACCAGCCTAAATTTCACATGGCTGAGGACCAATTCCATGATCTGTCCCAGCATTTCCAAGTGACCACATGCAATTCCCTTCCCTTTGGAGGGTCTGGAAGTCCTGACACATTTTATGTCTGAGGCTGGTTGGAATCTTTTGAAGAGCAAGTTGTGGAGAATGCAGATACGATCACACTGAGGGGGCTGAGAGGCCACAACACTTCCAGGAGCAGGAGAGGGAACAGAGGTTAATTTTGAAAATTTGTTGATGATCTTACACTCTTCAGAGCACTTTACAGAGTCTTGAGAATTAATCCAAGTAGACAGGGACCAAGATAAGGAAATATTATCCTCACTTTACAGTTCCACAGAGAAATACTCCATTCCAGAGCCAGGACTGAGGCACAAGTTCCTGATTCCCAGTCTTGTGCTCACATGAAATGTGTAAGTAATTAAACTTCCTTTACTCATTTCAGCTGCTTCTCATTAACCAGGAGTACAAACTCATTAGAGGAGGAACTTTTTGTTACATGTGCTCAGAACACCAGCACAATGAGGCTGGGAATCCTTCTGAGCCTCTCCAAGTGTTACTGGAGTGTAAACACCAATCATGGAAAAGGCACTTCTCATTTTTAATGATTATGTCTCAGAAAGCAAACAAACTCAAATAAAACTCAGTATTACTTTGGTTTAAATTTTAATGCATTTCTCAGGTCAGTGTTTACCTGAGCTGAGCATTTTTCAGAAAATTTTCTCACTTCTAAAAAATAAAGAAGACATTGTATGCAGGAAAAAAACCTGCTTGTTACCAGTTATTTGAATTTTTTTTAAAATTTGTTGAATTTGAACCAAAAATATTTTGATCCTGTGAGATCCACAGCATCTCTCTGCTAACAAATCCTATGGACCAGATCCTTGCCTGCCATGGAAGAGGGTTTATCCACATCTTTGATAGATGAGCCATTAACTCCAGTGAAGCAGCTGAGAATTCCCTTAGTGCAGTTAAGAGGTTTTATTCTTCATAGCAAGACTAAGAATAATTGTCCAGAGCAAGAAGATATTCAGCAAAGACATTTTCTTTATTATTATATTTTTAACTTAAACTCTCATGATCTGGAGTGCCCTGAGTGAATTGAAAACTATGGAGATCAGAGCAAATAATGCTCCATTACACAGCTCCCTGAGTCCCTGCAATCTCCCTTGGCAGAGTTATCTGCTTTGGAGCATCATAATTCCTCCATTTGAGCAATCTGAGGCTCATCCACATGAGAAATTTCAATGCCATCTTGCCCCCATCATGTTTTTTAGATCCATAACCTCAGCGTGATGCTCAGAAGGGCAGTGATGCCACAGGATGACTCTGGTACAGAAATGCATTTACAGAGAGACCATTCAGACCATTAAACATCCACTGCACTCTCCTTCTTGTCAGGAAAAGTCAACTTCCTAATTCCAGAGTGTTCTGCCAGTTGCAAGCAGGAACTGCAGTTCCTCCTTTCGTCATTCTCACCCGTTGCTCCCACTTTGCAGTGATAAAGCAGTTTTTTGAATGGTTTCAGGGTTTATTCCATGCTTTAATGTGGAGTTTCAAATCATTTACCAGATGGCATTGTCATCATTTTTCCTTCCCCACAGAATGAAAATGAACAAACACTTGACATTTCCAATATGTCTTCATCTAAAGCAAGAATTTTTAGAAGCCGTGGAATAGTGATAATCTGCTTTGCCCTAGATGGCCAGAATTGTTCAATGTGCCCTAAAAATCCTACATTTCCCACATGACTTTGTGGAAAACGGGGATAAAACCACACAATCATCATGGTTATGCCTTGTACCACGAGCTGTGCACGGCAGAGCAGGAACATGGAATACCAGAGCAGCTGTGGAATGAGAGGGGAAGGTTCATTAGAGAAATTAGCTCGAGCTGCTCCAGCACTTAGAAATCAGCTCACATTTACAAACCCACGGCAGATGCATCGTTTGGCAAAAAGAGTTCTGCAGTCAGTAATTTGCCATTCATCAGGGATTGCCTCTTAAATCTGGGATCCAAGCTAGGGTGCAGATGACATAGGAGGATAAATTTAGATGGGGCTGAAAACAATTATTTTGATTAAACCTCCAGCCAATGAGAGTGACAGTCTTCCTATTCCTCCCCTTTCCCCTCACTCACCCCTCTGAGGTGGAGATTGTGTGAGTTTAACCTCCTTTCCATGCAGGGATTTTTGGATGGAGCTTTTGCTGCTGCAGACTCTGTCCAGTGGAGTAGGGAGGGTATTTGGATGGAATGTGCTGCCTTGCTTCCATGTTAGTGTTGGAAAAAGTGCTGGGAGGGAAATATTGAAGTTTTATTTACCTGAAAAGGGGAGGCTGTATCTATTAAAATAAAAAATTGTTTTTTCCCTTGCCTATCCTGCCACTGGTGTGACTCCTGGGACTGGATGAGTTGATTCTGCTGGGAAATCTTGGTGAAGTTTGGCTCCTAAACTTCTCCTTGGCCATTCCAGCCTCTCACAGCTTTGACATGAATGTTTCTCAGTCTTTGAAGCTCTTTGTCCAATCTAACCTGGATCTGTAGGAAGAGTAATGCTAACTATTTTAAAAAGCATCAACAAAAGCATCATTTAACCACTCAGAGCTATTTTATTAGAAATAAAACTATGTTAATCTTGGCTGGCAATCTTGTGCCCACCAGGCCTTGGCTTGCTGTCATCATAAACAGCTCTGGTTTAAAATTATAATAATAATAATATTATGGATGTAAACTGCCACTTTTAAAAATGAGTTTTTAATGAATAATAGTTTTTAATTAATAATAGTTTTGAATCATCCTTTGGGATTATAATGGAATCACAGAATGGTTTGAGCTGGAAGAGACCTTAAAGCCCATCCAGTGCCACCTCCTGCCATGGCAGGGACACCTTCCACCATCCCAGGCTGCTCCAAGTCCTGTCCAGCCTGGCCTTGGACACTTCCAGGGATCCAGGGGCAGCCACAGCTTCTCTGTGCCAGGGAACAACCCCTTCCCAATATCCCACTTCACCCTCCCTCCCTCAGCCTGGGGTCACTGTGCCTCTGTGGAGGTTCAGCACCACTGTCACTGCAGGCTGGGTTGTGTGGCTGCCCCAGAATTACCTTGCAATTCCTTTTTTATTCCTCATTTCCCTGTGGTGTGGATTTGGGCAGAGGTCACTCCTTGGCTGCTCAGTGTGGCTGCTGCTCCTCCTTGCACTGTAGTCCTGTGAGAGTGGGGGGAAAAAAGGCCAGAGCTGGGGATGGAGGGTGGTTTGGAAACTGAGCTGAGGGGCTGGAACTTGTAATGGCATAAACTGTAATTGCAAAATAAAATAACAAGAATTTGGGAAGAGGAAATTTTTATCTTATTTACTCTTTGGTAATTGTTGGCACTTGACTGCAGTCAGCTGCAAGCCTATCTCTGAGTGACAGCACAATTCCAACCAGAGCAACCAAAAATAGTCCAGCATTTGAGTAACTTTAGGTTTTTTAATAACCTAATATTGTCACAAATAAAAGCCAGTGTAACAGGGGCAGATTGAACTCTCCTCTGCAGACTGGGGTAAACTGGGCAGTGCTATGGGAAGCTGTACCCAGAAAGCAGCAGTTGTATTTTTCTTCAGCTATTCTTGCCCAGAATTAAACTGGATTAGCTCATTTTTTGTTCATCAGTCTCAACATTTCAGAAGTTGTTTAAGTTCTACACTTAGATTCTTACTGAGGTGAGGAGGATGGCAGAGGGAGGAGAGGGAAGGTCCAACCTTCACCAAAACTTCAGTCAGAAAGAACTTTAATAAGCAAACTTACCTGATTCTGGTCAGAAAACCCACAGAGACTTCCCCTGCTGCTGTGCCAAGAAGTTTGGAATAATTGGAGATCCCCTCACCCTTGTTGAGGGAGGAAGGAAAAATCCTTTCTCCAACACAGGAGGTGGGAGAAGGTCACTTTTCCCTCATGGTTTATCCCAAGGCCTCTTCCTCAGGGGATTTCAGTGGAGGGGACACAGGGTGACACAGTAGAGCTGCTTTCATTTTTTTCCTTATTAAACCATTTTTAAGAAGTTGTCTGTTTTGAGGACCAGCACAACAGTCGAGCTACATTAACTTGTCAAGTGGATTAGTCATGAAACACCTTTTTGGACCTTTTAATTCAGAATTAAAGTGGCTGTAATTTGATTTTAGCTTACTTTGCTTTCAGAGTAAATTCAGGTAAATCAAATTAAGGTTCATTCAGTGTAGAGGTGTGGGCAGAAATCCTCATTATGGGCTACATGGAGCAACTGAAAACATGAGGCCAGGTTGGATGGGGCTTGGAGCAGCCTGGTTCAGTGGAAGTTGTCCCTGCCTGTAGGAGGAGGTGGAAGAAGATGAGTTTTAAGGCTCCTTCCAAGCCAAACCCTCCCATGATTCTGTGATTGTAACTATTGAGGAGCAGTACTGGAGAATCTTTTGGATTTTAGGGACTTGCTGGTTAATTTACCAAAGAAATGTCAGGGGCAGCAAGTTGAATATAGATAGGAAGAACAAGCCAGCCAATAATTACAGCTGCTGCATCTGTGGAAGGAAAAAAAGTTGTAAGTACCACAGTTCAAGCTTGAAGTTGTGTCTTGAACAGTTCTCTTAAAGGAGAGGGAATTTGCATCCCAAATAACCTAAATAACTAATTCAGTACTATCAATGCTGAAGTAAAGAAAGGAGGTGAGTTCCCTTAACTGTGACATCATCTCTGAAATGAGGGATGTTAGGTGAAGCAGAAAATAATGAGCTTTCACACTATCAGGCTTGTTTGAAGGCTTTTCAGTGATTAAAAAAAAAACCCCAAACACTGAGTCTTGAATACAGAATAAATTCAATCACACTTTTCCAGCTGTGACTGTGTTAACCTTCCATTCACCAGGCAGTGTGTGACTAAATGAGGACCCAGGTGACAGCTGTCCAAGAAAACCTGCAGTGCTCAGGCAGGTGTCACTGATGGAACAACCTGGCTTTTATGGCTCATTCTCCCTCTTTGATAAATGCTCTCTGGGTGTTAAATGCCCCTCCTGTGATGGCAATGAATGTAATTAATTCCTGATGATGAATACACTTCCAGTAATCCGAGTGACTTTCATTTTAATACTATCTTTTTTTTTTTTCTTGACAGGAAGCCTCTTTTTTGCCAGCTATTGACACATTGCCTGGATCCCACAGAGTGCAGAAGGAGGTGCTGCTGATGACCATTTGGCTGGCAAGCTGTGGCCAAGTGGCCACGGATCAGTGTGAGGGGCAGCTGCTTGACAAGGTGCTGGGAGCAGCCAACATCTACCAGGCCCTGGTGGCGTGGCTGCTGTCCCTGGTGAGTGCAGTGACCTGGCACAAAAGGTGATGAGGGCTGTGTTTGGACCTCCAGTGAATACACAATCACTCTTGAAATCTCCTTTTCCCCCTCTAACAGCTACAAAACAGTGGCTGAACAAAGTGGAAATGATGTTCTAATTCACCTCAGAGTCTGTAAATAAAAGTCTCGCTGGAGTCAGTGGAGCTGGGTTGTGCCTGTAGTTTATGTGAAGTGAAAAAGAAGTGAAAAATTATTGAGCCAGATTTTCAGTTGTTGAGAGTGGCTGCTGGGTGTTAGGTTTTGTCCTTGGCAATGGACACAGGTTCCTGTTTTTCACCACTTTTGGGTAAGAATAGACCCTTCCTGATAGTCAAGAGTGCTGTGAACAAGTGAGGGGCTGCCTTCATTGTCCTTTGGTTCACGTGTTTTTCTCCTCTAAAGAAATCACCCCATCCTCTTTCCTTCCCATCCATATTACCCTTTATTCCCTAGGGAAAACAGTGTATTTTTCTTCCCCAATGTATATTTTTCCTTCCCACCCTGCTCAGTGGCCTTATTCTGTTCCCTGGCAAAGGCTCTGGAATACCAATACTGATCCACGCAGTCAAGGTAGATTTCACTCTGAGCAGCCAGGCTTTTAAATCACTTAAACTCCACTTAAACACAATTAATTGTTAATGATGTTCGTGCTTGCATTAAAACATTGCTAACATTCTTTAGTGTTAGTTCAGTGCTAATGAAAATTGCCACTGGAACAGCCCTGGATCCTGAATTTTCCATTCAGACTCGTTAGCTTGTGACCAGCTGCAGTGTGAGCTCTCTTCCCTTGTGTTATCCCCATTAAAGAAACCACAAAAACCTGAGCTCTGACTTGTAGCAGTTCTTTCAGAGCCTGAAAGGGTACCTCAGCTTCCAGGGCTGAGTCACTCTGCTGGGTGTGGGGTCAGATGAACTTTGTGCCCAAGAAAAACTGGGGTAAAATCCACCAATTTATTCTACACAGGCTCTGAAATGGCTGTTGGATAGCAATGAAAAAGTTTGCATTTCTTTCACTGAAAGAATTGGAAATGTCAAGGCATTTTTAGACCAAATTCTCATCGGGTTGTCCATGCAATTCCATTGGCTGGCTTGTGTAAATCAGCATATCCTTACTGATTCCATTGGAGATGTGATGGATGCTGCCAGGTGGGAGCAGTGGTCCTCTGGATGGTGCAGAATTCCCCATGGGAATCAAGCAGGAGGACTTGGTGCTGGTGTTTTGAGTGATCCAGCTGAGCTGTGCAGCAGCTTCAAAGTCCAGCCTTGGCCCTGTGTTAAAAACAAGTTTTTAAAGGCCTTTATCTGCCTGTAAATGGTTTGGGGCTATGTGCAGTAAATAGAGCTGATGATGAGACTGGTGATGGAAAACCAGCAGAACAAGACTTGGAGTTTCTGTATCCACCAGAACCCTGGGAGGGAATTACAGTCCTGTAGCTCAGACTTGCTTTTCTCTCCATCCAGAGCGTGTTCTGGATCAGGTGCCTCTGCTTTTCCTTTCTCCTGGATTTGCTGATTCCCTGTGTCTGACTGTCCCAGAATTTTCTGCCCCTTTTCACCAGCTGCCCTGGACATTTTGCAGCATCCCAGGGCCTTCCCAGGCTGTTTCAAGTGTCTCTACTCTCTCTTTTCTGATTTATAATCAAGATTTTAAAGTATTCTGCATGTTAAAGTGGATTATGTTTCATCTGACTTTGAGCAACCTAAAGAGCCAAGGCAGAGTCTGTCCTACTGGAACCTTCTCCCTGGATCCAAACTGATATTCACAAAAATAATTTATGTCTTGGGGTTGCAGAAGTCACTTTTTACCCTTTTTGGTTTAAATCAGATCTATAAACTGGAAAATAGAATGTTTGCCTCCCACACATATGTGCACAAAAAAAAATCCATGAAAAAGAAATCACCTCAGCCCAAATAAAAGGGGATTCACAGGATGGGGATTGATGGGGTTTGGGCTATTAGTGAAGGGCTTCTTAGGGAAGCCTGCAGCAGCCTCTTGGAATGGCATCATCCCTTTGGATGGATTTGTGAGCTGAGATTGGGTTGATCTCACTGTCACTGATAAAGGCACACACGGTGCTGCTGTGACAGGAACATTCTGGGCAGCCTTGACAGGAAATAATGTGAATTCCTGCTTCAAACTGGTGGAAGTCAGAGCTTGCAAGTCCTCATTGAGAAAATAAATCCTATGGCTTATCAAAAGCAATGTGTTATTCCTATTTAATTTGATCTTTATTGATTTTTCTACTGGCTAAACCACAGCTAATCTACTAATCAAAGCAGAGTGCTC